CACCACCCTTCTCTCCCTCCCACCACCTCCCCAATACCCCTATATGTTCCCTCCTAACCACCCCTCCATGTTCCGCCCTTCCTTCCTAACCACCCCTTCATGTTACCCCCTTCCCTCCCAACCACTGCCTCCCCAGCCCACCACCCCTCCTCCTCACTACCCCTGTATGTTCCCCCTAACCAACACCTCACCACCTCTCCCCACTATCCCAGCATGCAACTGGAGCCCAGAGGTGATTGTCCATGAGGTGCCAAGATAACTGTCCTGCCTTCATTATGTGATGTACATTGTCTACGGCCCTGGTGCCCAACCAGTGGTCCAGGGACTACAAGTGGGCCTTTGATACTCATCTTGTGTCCCTCTGGCCCCAGTAGTCATTATCTTCCTTGCTTACTCTGGGGCAGTGAAGGGGAATATTCATTATACTGGTTTCTTTTCTTCGCACACTTTGTCAGTTCTTTTTGTGTATTTGTTTCCGACCTTTTATAATAGTTCTGGCCGAAAGTAAAGATAAATGGTGCCAGTCATGTTTTTTTTAGGGGGCTGTAGTGGGCGATGACTTGTAAAGGGATTATAATGGCAGTGATCTTTATCGGTCTCTTATAACACGTCCCCCAGTCTCTGATAATCTCATGCAGCATGTCTCCCGTCTCAGATCATGCTTGTAACAGAGCTGCAGTCTTATACCATCTCCTGCAGCATGCCCGCAGTCTCTGACCACATTATGCCATGTTGAGGCCCCTATACGTAGGAAGTTAATGCTGATTCTACCGTCACACTATGTCCGTACAATGAGAGAAGAGTCGGTGACAGAGTACAGATACATCTACGAGTGTGTCCCTTCAGCGTGGATCCGCGTGACTTACCAAGCAAAGAGGTTGGTCTGTGGGTGGTAGTCCAGTGTGGTCAGACCTTTGACGATCTGCATCGTGTTTATCGATTCGGGTAATCTGGGATCATAGTATCGTACATCTCCATTGACGCTGTACAGAGAGGATGTGAGAATTCATAAGGTGGACTAGAAATAAATCAATAATAAAGGAAGGGGGGTAAAGGAAGGTTTG